TGGGTGTCATAGCGTGGTCATCCTGGAAGGTTGTTTAGAAGGTCCTTATGCTGTCCTGTCATTTGGTCAATTTGCATATTTCACTTTTATTATTATAGATTATTTCAGGCCTGGAAACTAAATAGTCAGGGTTGCTCTCCTGGCTTTATCACTTAGCTCATTTCTACTTCTTTATTTGAAGTTGAGGTGGGTTGGAATGGAGGTTCCTTCTAGTTTAAAATTTTTGAACTTATCTGATCTTATTGCGACTTTATAGTCAAAGGTGGTTGCAATCGCTTTACTTGCTCAGACTGCATTCAAACACACACTGTAAAATTCCGTAAATTACTATTTAATCAAAAATTTGAAAAGGATTACATCATCATTCAACGTTTATTAAATTGGACCAATTGATTGCATTCTACTGAGAATTAGTATAAAGCAATAGCACCACCTGGTGGCTTCTCTTCTGATAATGACAATTTTGTTGAAAAGGATAGATTGGCCTTTCCTGTCAAATTGTTTTCCTATTTTAGGAAAACAAGTTTAATAATATTGCAAGCTATATGTTTAAACTAATGTTTATGACATTGGGCTTAGGAACTTATTTCATAGTTTAAAAAATTCTCTCAATATTTTATGTTTAGTGCCCAAGTACAAGAACAAAATAAACAAAAAAATACTTGCATTCATAGATGTAATAGTCTAGTGAAAGGAAGTAGGCAACAAATACTAAGTGTAATAAATTAACAAATTATGTTTAGTGGGAAGTTGTATTAAAAATCAGGATAAGAGGGATGTTGAGTAGGTTGTAATTTTAGAAATACTTTAAAAATATTTTTATTGATAGAGATAGAAACATCAAGGAGAATCACTGATTAGCTGCCTCTTGCACGCCCCCTACTGGTTATTGAACCTGCAACCCAGGCATGTGTCCTGACCTAAAATTGAATGGTGACCTCCTGGTTCATGGGTACATACTCAACCACTGAGCCACACCGGACAGGCAAGTAGGTTGCAATTTTAAATAGGATGATATTTGAGCAAAGACTAGAAAGAGGTGAGGTCAATTCTATATGCTTGTCTGAGGAAAAAATCTTCATAGGCTTACAACCTAAACATTTAGCTTTAATTTTCCCATGCTGCTGAAATGTTGCTTCCTCAAGTATTAGTTTTTAGGAAGCAGGAGATGTAATACCAGACCAATATGAACAGAAATGACATTTTGAGAAATGATGCTGCCCTATAGATATGCACCTTCCCTACTATAGAGATTATAATGGCTGTCTTTAGATAGTTCAGAAAGATACATGAAATGGCGGTCGTTACTGTATTTTTCACCACCTGACTATGACATTCTCATATTGAAAATTGTGTTCCTGTTAAAGTAAGAACTACTCTAGTCTTAGGGACTGAAGACTGAAAGAAGGAAAGAAAAGGTGGAGGTGGAATGTCATTACCAACAAAGATTAGCTAGATTTCTCTAAACTGTTTATGACTTTGTTTTCTATAATTTTGTCTCAGCACTTTTTCTTTTTAAAATTCTCACCTGAGGATATTTTCCCATTATTGTTATTTTAAAAAATGTTTTATTGATTTTTTACAGAGAGGGAGAGGGAGAACTAGAAATATCGAGAAAGAAAAATCCATCAGTTGCCTCCTGCACGCCCCCCATTGGGGTTGTGACCGCAACCAAGGCACATGCCCTTGACCAGAATCAAACCTGGGACCCTTCAGTCTGAAGGCCAATGCTCTATCCAATGAGCCAAACAGCTAGGGCTATTTTTCCATTATTTATAGAGTGGAAGAAAGAGGGAAAGGCAGAGAAACATCAATGTGAGAGAAATACATCGATTGGTTGCCTCCTACATAGGTCCTAGCCAGACCAGGGAGGAGCCTGCAACTGACATAATGCCCTTCACCAGAATGGAACATGGGACCCGTTTGTCCGAAGGCTGACGCTCTATCCACTGAGCAAAACCGGCTAGGGCTCAGAACTTTTTGAAACCATTTTAATTTTCCGTCTTAAGCAAACTTGGGTTAATAAGTGCCTCTAAAATTTAGAAATCATCAGAGACTGTTTTAGAATATTTCATAGGTATAGTATTAAGGCCTTAAACATGGTAAATAGTAAAAATTTATTTGTCTCAAACCCACTCTAGGAAAATTTAAAAGGGTAACACTATCTTAATATTTCGGGATTTGTTGTTAGATCAAAGCTTTCAGTGAATGGAGAATTTTTTGATGTATCCAGGAAATTAGATCTTTTCTTCACAGTCAAAGCAAAGAATGAATTGGGTAAATCTTGAAAAATAAAGTTTTTCATCAAATTGCCTGAACAGTTTTTATTTTTTATACTATTGCGTCCACATTGACTTTAATTTAGGTGCTTAATATACATTATGAAAGGCTAGTATGCTATCTAGTAATATTAACAACACTTTAAAAATTGTTCTTCTTGATTTTAGAGAGAGGAAGGGACAGGGAGAGAGAAACACTGATGTGAGAGAGAAGCATCAATCAGCTGCCTCCCCCACTCCCCTTACTGGGATTGTGCCCTGACCTTGGAATCAAACTCGAGAACTTTCGGTGCAGAGGACCACACTCAACCAAGCGAGTCACACTAGCCTGGGCAATAACACTTTATTTTTGTTTCCTGAAGGTGCTTTTACTTTCACTTAAAAAAAAAAAAATATATATATATATATATATATATATATATATATATATATATATATATATATTATTTCATTGATTTTTTACAGAGAGGAAGAGAGAGGGAGAGTTAGAAACATCGATGAGAGAGAGACATCTACCAGCTGCCTCCTGCACACCCCCCACCGGGGATGTGCTCGCAACTAAGAAACATGCCCTTGCCCGGAACCGAACCTGGGACCCTTCAGTCCACAAATCGATGCTCTATCCACTGAGCAAACTGGTTTTGGAGCACTAACACTTTTTTTTTAAATATGTTTATAGCATTTCCGTTTACACAGCATCCTTACATATATCTCACTTGCTTATTTGGTTCAGAATGTACAATGTGAATGTAGTTTGGGTATCTTTCCTTTTAGTTCTTATTGGGCAATCTATTTTCAGGGAACTATGTCATTGTACTGGAAACATGAATCTGAAATGGATATAAGTTTGAAGAACTGGTGGCCAAGATGTGCCAAAGGTAGACGCTAAATCTTGGCAAAGAGAGGACTCGAGGTGGATGAAGAAAAGGTGAGAAAGCTCAGTGGAATCACAGCATGCCGAGGTCCACAAGTTGCACAACACAATGCTTACCAAGCACAGCCTTTAAAAAGCCCAGGTGCTTAGGTGAAGAGTCGCTCAACTCCCCTACTTCTCAAACAACAAAACAAAAACCCAAAACAACAAACAAAACCCCCAAACCTTTGCCTTACAAGAAAAATGTCTGTGAAATTATGATTTGGGAGCAGGAAGGAGAGTTTAGAGCAATCAGCAAATGTAGTTCAATGTCTGGCAGCTGGAGAGATCTGAAAATTGAAATTAAAAAACAAAAAACAAAACAATCAACAATCGCCGAAACCGGTTTGGCTCAGTGGATAGAGTGTTGGCCTGCAGACTGAAGGGTCCCGGGTTGGATTCTGCTCTGGGGCATGTACCTTGGTTGCAGTCATATCCCCAAGTGGGGGTTGTGCAGGAGGCAGCTGATGGATGTTTCTCTCTCATTGATGCTTCTATCTCCTTTCCTCTCTGTAAAAAAATCAATAAAATATATTAAAAAATAAAAGAAAAAGAAATTAAAAAAAAAAAACCCACAGGCAGTCCATAAACTTGTTTAATGGATGAACATTTTCTATGATAACTAAATACATAATATGTAAATATTACATTTGGTAAAAGACCCTAAGATGTTAACAATGGTTAGTTCTAGGGAGAACTGCAGGATGAGGGGAGGGGGCTAGGGACAGGTTTAGTTTTCCGTGGATCTTTATGAAATTTTAAGACGTATGCTCAGCCTTTAAAAAAAAAAAAAAAAAATTAGTCTCTTGTGTGTATGCATAGGAGCCTAACCAGTGGTCAAGGACAACAGGGGAGTGGGGGCCTACGTGGGGAGGGGTGGGAGACAGGAATAGGGGGATGAGGACCTTAATTAAAAAAAAAAAATTTAGTCTCCCTTCTCCCCATCCTCCAAGTGTGGCTGCTTTCAGGATCAACATGACTCCCGACCTATGCCCCTCCAGGGAGCAGGCCTCCAACCCAAAAGCCCAGGCTGCCAATCAAGGAGGGGCGGCCAGGTGTGCAGTCAGGTGGACGAAAGGGGGCGGGGCTTCTGAAGCTGGCCGTGCAGCGACGCCGAAGATCTGCAGTCGGCGGCTTACGTGTAGGGCTGCGGCGCATCGGTGGCAGAGGGGACCCCCTATTATTATTAATTATTATTATTACCACGTCCTATGGCCTGATCGGTAAAGCGCCTAGGCCCCGTTGAGTCGCCCCCGCCGGGCGCTTCAGGACCGGCAGCTCTTGCGACGCCGCCGCCGCCGCCGCCGCTACCGCCGCCGCCGTCTACGCGCGCGTCCAGTGACGCTGCTTCAGGAATCCCGACTCGCGTTCCTGGTTAACGGATTCGCCACATCTTGGAGCTAGAATTTAAAACGAAAATTCCACGTTCCGTGGTTCGGAAGTCCTTTCCGTCCGAGGGAACAGAAGAAGGAGAGTCTCTGAGTCCTTGGTTATTTTTTTTTTTTCCTTTCTGGCTTTCGCACTGCTTATTCACCCCGCGCGCCGCGGCCTTGGGTCGAAAGCAACGACGCGGACGCACAGGCCGTCCTCGGCCGCGCAGCCGCGGCGGCCGCTCCCTCCCTCCCGCCCGCCCACGCCGGGTGGCCGACGTGGAAGTTGCTGGCTGACTGGAGGCTTCCAAGGAAACCGCCTCCGAGCCGCGGGAGGCCCGAGACGAGCGGAGGTGGCGGCGCCGGGGATCCAGTAGAGTCGCTGCCGAGGCCGGGGCCTGTCTCTGACGATCGACGAAGGCGGACAGGCGCTTCATCATGGGTGAGGGGGTCTGAGCAGGGGCTGCGGCCGCGGGCTGGGGGCGGGCGGAGGAGAGGGGGTGGCCGGCCTGGGCACCCTGAGGAGCCGGCTTCTCACGGGGCGGGGCGCTGGGACCTCCCTCACCTGGGGGTGGGGAGGTTGGACCTGCCTGGAGCGGCCGCCCCCGCCCCTGCCCCTTCCCCGGTCCCCCGAGCGGGTTCGGGGTCAGCGCTGCGTCCTGGGAGCCCCCGGCTCCGCGCCCTGGGAGCCGCCCGAGGCCGCTCCCCGGACCGTGGACTTTCCCCTCGGCTCCTCAGCCCCAGGTGGACTTGCCGAGCTCGGCAGTGTCTGCCCCGGGTTCGCTGAGGGTTCTTGGGGAAAAAGTGAGATCTGACCCCATTAGTGGAAGCTGGGCCTCCCTCCTGGCCGCTGGGACCGCGTCCGTTTTAAAGAATCCAGAGGGAGGGAGGTGTGGCTCGTCGTGTGGTCGGTCCCATGGCCTCCTGGCCGTGTGTCTGCTTCTCTGTAGCGTTTCGTGTAGGGAATGGAGCGGGGGAAGGAGACGGGGAGGGTCTGACTGATGAGGGCAGGGCATGGGATCTCAGATTTTGGAGTGCCAGCACAAGCGGCAGGTACAACGAAGCCTCCGCCCTCGCTAGAGCCCAGAAGGAAATGACAGGTGCTTGAATTGCTTACAGCTCTGTAATGGAGATGGGAAGTCTTTGGCTTATTTAAACCCCTCCTCGGTGGTTTTCTAGGGATTTTTTTACTTCCTGCCCTGGAACATCGCAAGCACTTTTCTGTCTTTTTCCATAACCGCCCTCAGTTTTGCTCTTCCGCCTTAAAAAAAAGTACACACACACACACACACACACACACACACACATACTTTTAAAGGTAGAAAGAATTTTGTCAATTCCCACCCCTTCTATTACACTTTCCCAAGGTTCTCTAGCCCATATGCTCATTTTTTCAGACTCGCAGCTCTTAACTTGTGCCATTTCTTTGTCAAATAGCCACTTATTGAGTGGCATCACTTCTGTCCTCAATTTTTAAAATACTGTTTAATGTAACTTCCCCCCGCTCCCCCCCAATATAATGGCTTTCAGTGGGAAAGAGTCAAACCAAAGTGCTTTTTTTGTTTGTTTGTTTTTGGCAAACATAAAAGAAAAAAATGTCTTTAAAGCTTTATTTGTTGTTAGAATAATAAAGACTCTAAATTTCCATATCCCTTACTTTTAAGGTTTATTTTACTTAAACACAATTCATTTCTAGAAGGACTTTTTTAATGTTAATTACCCCACACAGCTTTACTGATGATTGACAAATAAAAATTGTGTGTATTTCGATGTACAACATGGTATTTTGATACAAGCATAGCTGTGAAGTAACAGTCAAACTAACACATTCATCACTTCACATACCGTAATTGTGTGTGGCGTGCGCACATGTGCACGTGTGTGTGCGCGTGTGTGTGTGTGTGTGTGTGTGTGTGTGGCGAGAACGTCTGGAGATCTTGCTTAGCAAATTTCAAGTGTAAACTACGTTATTATTAACCTTCATCACCATGCTGTACAATAGGTCTCAAAACTGTTCATCTTTCGACAAAAGCTTGTACACCTCTTCCTTTCTCCTATTCCTCCACATTCAGTAACCACACTACTCTCTGGTTACAAGTGCTTTCTATTACACTGTACTTTGCGTATAGGAAGTTTTCTGGAAATATTTCATGATGCATTGAAATGTTAGCATTATGTTTTTTAATTAGTTTTTTTTTTTTTTTTATCAAGAATAGTTTTTATTTTGGGCTTCTGTGTCTCACTTTTTTTGTTTTTGTTTTTTTGTTAATAGAAATCTTAGTTAAAGGTGTTACTCTGATGATACTGCAGCTGTACGGCAATGATAATTGTGTTTCCTATGCAAGGATCTCATTGTCTCCCTGTCATTCAGATTTGCCCTTTGGATTTAGGGGTAGCGGGGAGATCATGCTAAGGTGCTCATATTCTCTTTATTGGAAAGTGAACTCCATAAGGGTGGTGGTCATATATCTCTTATTTTTAGTGTATCTTCTGTGCTTGTCTGATACATTATCTAGAACAGATGACAATCAATAAGTTACTTATTTTGTTTTCAGTGGGAGCAAAAATACACATATATGAAACCAGGAAAATAATATTAAATTTGATGTTAGCTTTCAAGGAGCAAGAGTAAATGTTTTGTGGACCAGTTAAAAAAATGATATTTAATAAATTTTTTGCTTTTATTATTTTTTTAGGTGGCTTTTTCTCAAGTATATTTTCGAGTCTATTTGGAACCCGAGAAATGAGGATTTTAATTTTGGGATTAGATGGAGCAGGAAAAACTACAATTTTGTACAGATTACAGGTTGGAGAGGTTGTTACTACTATTCCTAGTAAGTACAATAAGTTATAAGAGCTTTCTCTTTTCTATCTAACATAATTTTATTTTTAATTAATAATATAATAAAGTAATTGATAAGGATATTGTAAACTTCTAGTATGAGCATATTGTTGATAACACTTCTATATATATATATATATATATATATACACACACACACACACACACACACGTATTTTTGTTGATTTCAGAGAGGAAGGGAGAGGGAGAGAGATAGAAACATCAGTGATGAGAGAGAATCATTGGTCGGCTGCCTCCTACATGTGTCCTACTGGCTCATGTGTCAACGCTCAATCACTGAGCCCCACTGGCTCAGCTGTTTGAGGGTATTTAAATTATGTCTCTAAAGTTACTCAGTCATTCAAGGTATTTCTTTTTAGTGCTATTTGAATTTAAAATTACAAAAAGAAGGCTAGTTTTTATGAAAGGACTTTTAAAACTGTGACATCTTTTTTTCTTTTTGCCACCTTCAATAAATTTCAGTTCCCTTGTTTTTTGATTCTCAAAATTGCCCATCACTGTTGTATCTGTCTTGGCCATCATCTCTGCAGTGTACATAACCCAGTGGATTGCATTTCAGTGAAAGCTGATTTACACCACACTATCTATAATTATTTTTTTTACAGAAAGGAAGGGAGAGGGAGAGAGTTAGAAACATCGATCAGCTGCCTCCTGCACTTCCCCCACAGGGGATGTGCCCACAACCTAGGTACATGCCCTTGACCATAATCGAACCTGGGACTCTTGAGTCCGCAGGCCGATGTGCTATCCACTGAGCCAGACCAGTTAGGGCTACACCACACTCTTGTTCTTTGCATAGAAGCTATGTTCCTAACCTTGGTGAAGATGTTGATTACACACCTACCCAAGTCTAAGGGAGACATTATGAACTTACTTTTTAGTTTTTTGCTCCTGCTGCTTATAATAGTACTAGAGTTCTGGTGCACAAAAATTGTGCACTTGGGGGGACAGGGAGGTCCCTCAGCCCAGCCTGTATCCTCTCACAGTCTGGAATTCCTCAGGGGATGTCCACCTGCCAGCTTAGGCTCACTCAGTCTAAAATAAAAATTGTTCAGCTACACCTGTCAGTTTTTACTGTGCTTTTTTTTTAAGCTTATAAAATCATAGTAAACTTTGTATATACCACTCCTAGTTTTCTTTAGCATCCTTTGCACTTTCTCTTAGATTCCTTTCAATGAAAATAGTGGTATCCTGCCTTATCTGTGTGGTGTCAGGGCTCCACCTAAGAAGGATGGCAGGGAAAAGGGATGAGACATCTTCCTTTTGGTCATCCAGCTGTGACCTTATTACAGACGAGTGCTTGAGGAAGTCTGCAGAGGGTGTGTGAAATTGCCAGCATTGGAGAACCCAACTTCCATAAAGCAATAACAGCCATTGTTTTGCCCTTACCCACTGAAGTTTAGAATCTGTGCTTTCTTGATTTTGTTCTGTTTATTTGCTGCTTGCCAAAATTCATATTTTAAAATACATCTACAATGTCCTTTTAAATATAATTTTTTGAACACTTTTGTATGTTAGTATTGTATTATGAGAGAGTTTAACATAATAGGATTTCTGTTGAGCTAAAAATTACCTACGTATTTGCAGAGGAGACTGAGGATTATTATATAATCTGAAGGTGATGCTGATCTTATTAATTGTGTATGCGTGTGTGTGTGTGTGTGTGTGTGTTTGTGTGTGTGTGTAGCACAGCATACTGACTTGTCTTTAATGGAATATCTCAACCACTAATGTAATTCAACAGTTATCATTTGTTGCAGAAACTCAATTAGATTGGGTACTTTGAAGGTAAGAATGCATTAGTGTCTACATAAACTACTGATTTATCTTCCAGCCATTGGATTTAATGTTGAGACGGTAACATACAAGAACCTTAAATTTCAAGTCTGGGATTTAGGAGGACAGACCAGTATCAGGTATGGTACAAAGATCAGATTATTTATTTTGTGTTATTTTATTTTATTTTTGTAATTTAAATGGAAGGCACCTAGTGGTGGTTGTTTTTTCTTGAAAAATGTTTTTTATTTTTTTAATTAAATTTATTGGGGCACCTCCTATATAATTCTATATAATAAAACCCTAATATTCAAATAGACCGAACCATCGCTATGATGCACACTGACCACTGAGGGCAGACGCTCAACACAGTAGCTGAACATATTTTGGTGGTCATTGCACTCCCACAGGGGAGCACACCTCAGCCAGAAGCTGGGCTCACAGCTGACAAGCCTCTCCTGCCTCCATGGCAGCACTAAGGACCCCTCTGAGGGGTCCTGGGCTACAAGAGGGCACAGGCCGGGTTGAGGGACTCCTCCTTCCCCAGTGCATGAATGTCATGCACCGGACCTCTCGTTGGCTAATAATATTATATAGGTTTCAAGTGTACATTTCTGTATACACGATCTGTATATTGCACTCTGTGCCCAAGTCAGACCATCTTCCATTACTATGTATTTGGCCTCCTTTTTCCTTTAACCAGTTAACTGCCACATGTCCAAAACAGAAACCATCCCCACATGCCATGATATTTTGAATTTAATTTAAAAAATCAGTTTGCAATGAATATTATAAAAATAAATATATTATAAATCGGGTGTTCTTGAATATTTTCAGTTGAAAATTCTCACAAAAAATGATTTTAAAGTTGGTCTATAGACGCTTATGGCAGGCAAATGGTTAATTTCCCCCACCCCCATTCCCTTCTGGTAATCAGTATATGTTGTTTTGTCTGTGAGTTGCTGTTTTATATTCCACACATGAGTGAAATCATGTGGTTCTTAGCTTTTCCTGACTCACTTATTTGCTTAGGATAATATTCTCAAGGTCCATCTATGTCCTCACAAATGGCAGTATTTCATCTTTTCTGATGGCTGAATAGCTACCTAATTTAAAATGAGGGAAACCTGCCTGTTCTCTCAACTGAATTAAATTTAAGGAAACCAGTTCTTCAGCTATCACTTAAATGAACATGTTTTCATGAGACTCTTAAGATTTAATGTTTTTACTAAAGAGTCCTCTGTTTAGTTCTTGCCAGCCCCTTCCTCTGTGAGACAGATTGCCTTAAATTTCATAAAAATGCCTTTCAGGCCCACTGCTTGGGGCTAATGTGAATATAGATGGATGCCTGGGGGAACTCAGGTCTCCTGCCCAGCATTCTGTGCTTGACATGGCAACTGGAAATGTGTGGTGACTGTCGGTGGTTGCTCACTATGATTCCATCTAAAAGATTAGTAGTGCATTCCCCGAATGTCCTGCTTCCTTTTCATGTGTATTATTTTTTAAAGCACTTTTTTTAAAAAAAAATATATTTTATTGATTTTGTACCGAGAGGAAGTGAGAGAGATAGGGAGTTAGAAACATCGATGAGAGAGTCATCGATCAGCTGCCTCTTGCACACCCCCTACTGGGGATATGCCCGCAACTAAGATACATGCCCTTGACCGGAATCGAACCCGGGTCTCTTCAGTCCCCAAGCCGACGTTCTATCCATTGAGCCAAACCGGTCTTGGCTTTCTTAAAGCACTTTTGATTCTGTTTCTAACTTTATGCATTTGACTCCTTTGCATCTTTAGTGATCAATTTAATGCCTATTACATAAAGTTACTTAAAAATTTTTTAAGGAACCCATTCCTCTTAATTCCTAGTTAAAGGTTTATAAGATACTAGGGGCCCAGTGCACAAAAATTGTGCATGGGTAGGGTCCCTCGTAGCTGCCTGTCTGGGGGCCTCTCTTCCCCGTCACTGATGCCCACCATGTTTCGTGCCGCCCCCTGGTGGTCAGTGCACATCTAACACCTGAATGGTTGAACTGCCTGTAGGAACAATTTGCATATTAGCCTTTTATTATATAGGATAATGATCAGGTCTGTGTACAACTTTTTAGTGTTATAGGTTATAAATAGATTTTTCTCAGCCTAAAATTTGAACTTCTGTGAGTTGATATTTATTAACATTCTTTCCATCTTCATGTCTGAGGGATATGATATGTATCAATTGGAAACACTGCATCATTATGGTAGTGATTCTAACATGGGTGGGACCATATTGGCAGGTAACTAGCACCTGCCTTGCATGAAATTAACATAGCAGTTTAATCTTCTTTTCAAATAATAACATAGTTTCCCTTTCTGAATTTTCTTTAGGCCATACTGGAGATGTTATTATTCAAACACAGATGCCGTCATTTATGTAGTAGACAGTTGTGACCGAGACCGAATTGGCATTTCCAAATCAGAGTTAGTTGCCATGTTGGAGGTAAGAAAATCTTACTAAAATGTGGGGAAAACATTTACATTTGCTTGCTGTTTCCATTATTTATTATATGCAGGAATAATTAAAAGGAGAGCAGGGATGTCTTCCACCCTCCATGCCTTTATTATAATTTTCTTTTATGCATATTATTTCCTACTCCAGAAATATTGTTGGGTAGATGGTTGTAGACCCCTAAAAATAAAAATCCAGCCTTGTAACTTGACCATTATATTAAAACTTATTGATAAAACTATTTTACCTTTTTCATACACAAAAATAAATTCTAAATGGAGTAAATACTGACTGTACAGAAACAGGAGGCAGAGTAAACCTACCCCATATACACCTCAGCTCAGGCTCTTTGGTTTGTATTATGAATGGGGAGACATTGAGTCAAGGAGGTTTGAGATCTGACTTGTTTTCACTTCCCTTGGGCAAAGAATAGATGGTGGCTATAGCTTTATTTGAGACATGGCAGTTCAGCCAAGGAGTGGAAAAAAAAATGTAGAAAATGGGTATTTTCTACTGCTTTCTAATTCAGCTTATTTATTTATTTTTTTTATTATTTTTTAAAAAAATATATTTTATTGATTTTTTACAGAGAGGAAGGGAGAGAGATAGAGAGTTAGAAACATCGATGAGAGAGAGTCATCGATCAGCTGCCTCTTGCACACCCCCTACTGGGGATATGCCCGCAACCAAGGTACATGCCCTTGACCAGAATCAAACCCGGGACCCTTCAGTCCCCAAGCCGACGCTCTATCCATTGAGCCAGACCAGTCCCGGCTAATTCAGCTTATTTAGTAAATAAATTTATACATTTAAAGTCACCTTTACACATAGTTCTATACCTGCTTTAAAAAAATGAACTAAACATTAAATCGTGGATGATTTTAACTATAAGAATATATAAGAGGTATGTTTAAAATTTCTGGATAGAAAAGTTTTTTCTAAATCAAAGGATTGGAAAGAATTACAAAAGAAAAAGAAAAGATAGATTTAATTCAATTCAACTAAAAATCTCACAAAGCTCAGATGCCAGACAATATAAATTAAGATAAAATGGAAGCAGAGCCGAAACTGGTTTGGCTCAGTGTATAGAGCGTCAGCCTGTGGACTGAAAGGTCCCGGGTTTGATTCCGGTTAAGGACACGTACATTGGTTGCGGGCACATCCTCAATGGGGGTGTGCAAGAGGCAGCTGGTCGATGTTTCTCTCTCATCAACGTTTCTAACTCTCTATCCCTCTCAATTCCTCTCTGTGTAAAATCAATAAAAATATATTTAAAAAACAAACAAACAAAAAAAAACGGAAGCAGAGACACTTTTATTACAATTAATGACTAAGGATTAGTGTATTTATTTAAATATATTTATATTGATTTCAGAGAAGAAAGGACAGGGAGAGATTGAAACATCAATGATGAGAGAGAATCATCAATTGGCTGCCTCCTGCATGCCCCTTACTGACCTGAAATCTGGTCACATGCCCCAGACCAGAATTGAAACCCGGGACCCTTCTGTTCATAGGTTGATGCTCTATTCACTGAGCTAAACCAACCAGGGCAAGAATTAGTGGTTTGTTTGTTTTTTGTTTTGTTTTTTTAATATATTTTTATTGATTTTTCACAGAGAGGAAGAGAGAGGGATAGAGAGTTAGAAACATCGATGAGAGAGAATCATCGACCAGCTGCCTCTTGCACACCCTCTACTGGGGATGTACCCACAACCAAGGTACATGCCCTTGACCGGAATCGAACCCGGGACCTTTCAGTCCGCAGACCGACGCTCAACCACTGAGCCAAACTGGTGCCTGCAAGAATTAGTGTTTTTAATAATACCAATAATATCTGCCACTCATTATATAGGTGAGCAAAAGGCATAAACTACAATTCACAAGAGAAAAATATATTGCTGCTGATACATTTTTAATACCTTAATCTATAAAAGTAAAAGGGTAATATGCTAATTAGATCAACTGTCCTGGGTGTCAATCCGGATGTCCTTCCAAACGAACCTGGACTGGAGCGAACCCTGGGTGCCTGGCAGCCGCAGCCAAAGAGAAACAGCCTGAGTCCTAGGTATCTGGCGGCGGTGGCCAGAGAAGCAGCTCGGGACCCAGGTGCTGGAGGGTAGCCAGTACCAGCAGCCGGGGGAAGGAAGGCTTACTCTCACACGAATTTTCATGCATCAGGCCTCTAGTAATCATATGATAGGATGCTATGTCTGGAAAAGTATATCATTTCTAGTTCTACCAAGGCTGCATTGAAAATAGGCACTATTAGCCAGGACCGGTTTGGCTCAATGGATAGAGCGTCGGCTTGGGGACTGAAAGGTCCCAGGTTCGATTCCGGTCAAGGGCATGTACCTTGGTTGCGGGCATATCCCCAGTAGGGGGTGTGCAAGAGGCAGCTGATCGATGACTCTCTCTCATCGATGTTTCTAACTCTCTATCTCTCTCCCTTCCTCTCTGTACAAAATCAATAAAATATATTAAAAAAAAAAAAAAAAAGAAAATAGGCACTATCATATATACTGTTGGTGGAATTGAAATTGTTTAGAACTTTTTGGAAGGCAGTTTATTAATATATATAACAAGAATCAGAAAAAGTTTTCATATTTTGATTTCATTTTTAAAGAATTATGTTAAGGAAATAGAGATTTACACAAAGATTTTTATAAAATGATTCTGTTAACCTGGTTGTTTTTTTTAAATAAGTAAGTAAAAAGAATCTAAAAAGACTTTTAATACTGAAAAAGTTATATAGTTTGTTGTGCATGTAATTATAGTAATATGCTAATTAGATCAACTGTCCTTCTGGGTGTCAATCCGGATGTAAGAAAATTTTGTTTGGAAAATAATGATTTAATGTTTAGGTTTAAAGCAGGGCATGTAACTGTAAATTCAATTTTAAATATAGAAATTTATTTACTAAATAAACCATAAATATCTGAATTACAAAGCTGTAGAAAATACTCAAAATGTTATTAGTGACCATGTTTGTGAGATAGGATTGGGGTAAGCTTATTTTCTTTGTACTTCTCTATAATTTAAAATAATTTTTAATGAACATTGTATCCTAATAATTAGGAAATGTACTTTTAAAATACTGTATTTGGGGCATGTCTACCTAAACTCAAGGGAGCACATTGATGAAAGGAAATTAAATATCTTCTGATTTATTTAGGAAGAAGAGCTGAGAAAAGCCATTTTGGTGGTATTTGCAAATAAGCAAGACATGGAACAGGCTATGACTCCTTCAGAGATGGCAAATTCACTTGGGTTACCTGCCTTGAAGGACCGAAAATGGCAGATATTCAAAACTTCAGCAACCAAAGGCACTGGCCTTGATGAGGCAATGGAATGGTAAGCATCATGTTTCTAGAAGCCATCTGTGTGTGTGTGTGTGTGTATGCAGTTGTGTACACATGTAATTTCCTTTATGTCTTAAGGATGAAATCCATATTACTTAGTGGCTTGTATTGAATTCCTCCAGCTTTATCCTCCACTTGCCTTAATGTGCTTTAGCTTTTATTTCAACCATACCTATCTGATTAGTTAGCAAACAAGCTTTCTGCCATTTTTCTATTTCCTGCCTTATTTTAGCCTCTAATTTCTTACCCTTTGGGACCTTGGTTAAGGCTTTCCTCTTTTCAAGAGTCTTTCCTGATATATCTCCGTGCCCACTGCCTACCACACACACACCGATGTCCTTGTCACAGATCAGTGATACAGTACTTGTTGCACCATCTCGTAATTGATTTGTATATCTCATTAGATTAGCTCCTTGAGGACTGAGACTAGTTGTCACCTCTGAATTACCCACATCAAGCCTTGCTGTAGCAGTAGCAGCCTGGAAAGTAGGTTTTTAGATTATTCATTCAAAGCATAGACAAAATGAAAGCTAAAAGACCTTCTTCGAAATCAAGTGCATAACTACATTTTTTTAAACTATCTTAACCATTATCATTTAAAGTGCTTTGGAGCCATACCTGTTTTGGCTCAGTGGATAGTGTCCACCTGCAGACTGAAGGGTTTGATTTCATTTTGATTCCAGTCAAGGGCACATGCCCAGGTTGTGGGCTCAATCACCAGTAGGGGGCATGCAGGAGGCAGCCAATGATTATCTCTTATCATTGATATTTCTATCTTTCCCTCTCCCTTTCTCTCTGAAATCAATAAAAATATATTTTAAGTGCTTTGGAACCCATCTCCAGTATAAAGTTTATAAATGACCATACTCTATACCTGAATGTTTGAAGTTAAATTTATGAAACCATTCATTTTCTCTTTATAGGTTAGTTGAAGCATTAAAAAGCAGACAATAATCCACTCCTTCTGCTCTTCTGAAATGAAGACCGCATCCCATGTCCCTTTGGAAATAGTTAAGTGTGCTTCACACTAAATGTTAGAGCTGTGTATGATTGTTGGCATATACTGAACTGACTACACGTTTATAATAAATATAAAAGATATTTGGATGGAAGGATAGCTCATCGTGATTGAACCAACTGACTGGTCTGTATGATGTAAATATTCCTTCCTTGCTTTCTTGTATTATTAAGGTATATATTCTATTTGTGTGAAATTCTTATTCAAATACAGTCTTATTAAAGAATGCACTCTTATGGAGGGAAAAAAAACCTATTTTTGAATGTGGTTGCAGATTGTTTGTATAAACACTAATAAATACCTTAGCTCAGATTTTTTCCCTCTAAAATGAATTAAATTTTTCAAAAAATTTAACTCTAAATAGAGTAGTCTAGGAACATAGTGAGTGATATAGTTTTCATTTGCTCAGTAACCACTTTATTTAAACTGTTTCATTTAAAGCTTTTGGTTATAGGCATGAAGTTGAAATAATTACTGATGTATCTTTGAAATAGTTATTTTATAGTTGAAAAAATTCAGTCAAGAACCCTGTGATGTACTAGTAGATAGGACAGATTGTAACGTAATGTTTTTGTTTTATGGACGTGTGGAGTCTTGAGTTGATAGCTTGGCTTGCCCAGCTGCTAGTAAGCTGGGAGCCGGGCTCCAAGTGAGACTTCAGGATCAGAAGCTTGTCCCATGAACTACACCATATGTAAGTTCAATTGCTATAACTCCCTACATAAAATTATGCTAACTGAAGTAGACTGTACATTCAAAATAATGCCTGTAAATTTATCTGTCCATACTAGTAGAGGTAGTAAAAATAGTCCTAAATGGTTATATTTGATGAATGAATTAACACATTAAAAAAAATTCACATTGAAGGAAATAAAGATATATTTTAAGCATTATAAAAGATGTTTTTACTGTCTTTCATTCCTTTTATCTACTTGTAATTGGACATATAAATTTGATTGGTGAAGTAAAAATTTCATTGGTTCCAGGGAGAAATTGAGCCATTCTTGGATTTAGAAATTAGGTTTACTCATAGGCTATCAATTATGGTCAAAGGAACTTTTCAAACTGCCCATTCTACCACAGAATTAGCTCCAGTGTAACAGAAGTAAATATAGTCCTCAGGAACTACTAAAATTGGGGAGAAGTTTTTTTATTTTTTAAGTTGGGTAACTGCATTTAAGATATTAGATGCTGGTAAAGTGAGCTTAGTACTACTGTGGCCCTCAACTTTCAGAAACACTAGGGATTCATTTCCTGTCCCTGACACTGTCCAAATGTTGGCCTCTGGCCTTTCCCGCACACTTTTGTTATTCTCTCCAGTCTAATGAATGTGGCTTTCTCTTTTTGCTTGTGGGATTTACTCTTCTTATTTTCCAGCACCCACTCCTAATTTGTTTGGTCTCAGTGTCAGTGGAGTTCAGGATCACTGTGAAAATAGAAGTATGGGAAGTGAGGCCATGATGGGCAGGTGCTGTCCAGCACATGGCCCTCACCATCTGAAATTCTGAGGTGGGGCCAGGAAGCTATAGCCAAGTTCAGCACGTAGATGATCCTGATCCCGCTGGTTTATTGCGAAGAATAAGATGGGATAAAAGAGCATACAATTGTTTTAATACGGTATGAATTATAAGGCCTGGTCTGGCAGGAAACAACTATACAGGTATGTTACAGGAGTTGAAAGTTGATATTAATAAAAATCTAAAAAAACAAAAAAGACCACACCAACCCATGAATTCTAGGCACATGTGGCCATTCCTTCAGTTTTTTTTATTTACTCTAAAAAACAAGAGACCTGGACAAATAATATCTAAGGCATGTTTTAGTTTTAACATTCTGTTTTATAACTGGTTGTAGGTATGCTATGACGTGATTACACTGAAAATTGAAAGTGGTTGAAATGTCAGCAGGATACTTGGGATGCACTTTAAGTTGTGGAAACGTAAGCTCCTTGGGGGCAGGGACCTTACTTTATTTACTGTTAGTATCCCTTGCATCTAGTGTGGTGCAGGTGGCACATAGTGGGTGCTCAATAAATACTAATTAAAACAAAGCTGTGCTCGATATCCCTGAGGTATTTGTTCTTTCTGATTTTGTCTGTTATTTTTAATTTTGAAAAATTGAATAAAGCAATATGTGCATTCTAAATCACTTAAAATTAATGGAAATTGGCCTTCCAAGTTCCCTCCCATTTTTCCTTTTGGCACATTACACACTCCGTGGAAGTGTAAGAACTCTTGTTTGAGATACAATCTACATCAAAACATAGGTGCTTAAGTTATGTTTGAACATTTGATTCAGATGCCATATGCTGTACTACTCTCTCATCATTATTCTAGAGGCTCAGTGCATGAATTCGTGCACAGGTGGGGTCTCTTGGGGTGCCTGTGGGGATCGGGCCGAAACCTGCAGTCCAATGCTGCCTGGGGCTCCTGCTCATCCCAGCCCCACTGTGCCTGCCACAGGCTTGCACCCACTTAGTCCTGATCAGGAGAGCCCCGTGTCTGGCACCCGTCCCGAGGGGGGGAGAGGGATGGGGACAGGACACAATTGGTCTTCTGGACAGCGTGGGACACCCTTGCCAGCATGGGATCCAGATCCAACCCACTGACATTTGCGCTAGTTGACGGGAGCCATCTGGAAGCTACTTTTATATCATTTCTTCCTTGTGGAGCATTTAAGGAGGGGAAGCGGCCTCGGAGCCCAAGGCCAACTTCCAAGAGGCCAGCAGCACTGTTGGGATCATGCTGGCGGTGTGGGTCCATCGGTGCCTGGCCTGTTCTTCAGAGACTGGAACTGCAGGACTGCTGAGGGAGGGAGTGAGTGGCTGCCGCTGGGCTGGTGGGCCACTGGGACGGACGGGTTGGTCAGCTGAGCGGTGCTCCCACTGTGGGAGTGCACCGACTATTAGGGGGCAGCTCTTTTGTTGAGAGTCTGCTCCTTGGTGGTCAGTGCACATCATAGTGATTGGTCGTTCAGTTGCTTAGGCTTTTATGTATATAGATAATATAGATATATAAATAATAAAATGCTCGCCAACATTGACATTGTCACCTTTTATCAATCTGAAGGTTTCTAAATGGAATTTGCATTTTCCTAATTAACGAGGTTGAATACAGACAGGAGTGATTAAAAAACATTGAATAATTAGACATAGCTGATGTAAGAGGACCCCCTACCAGGATAGATAGTAACCCTTTAATTTCTGGCGTAGGGGTCTTAAGGTAGTGACTGTTTACCAACCAGTACATAAGTACTTTAGTATTTAAGAATATAACATATTGGCTAATTGTTAATGTTTAAGGACCATTTATATTTCTTCTGTGCAATGCCACTTTTTACTGGATTATCTTTGCTGATTCACAGGGATTGGTTATAACCCTTTATCAGTATATACCATAGCCCCGTCTTTTTCTAAGTAGAAATCTTAATTATAATGAAGTACAATTTACCATATGTCTCTCCTTTGGATAGCACTGTATCTCACTTTTGATAACTCACAGGAGAAGCCCCACACTCTGTTCTTTTTTAAGAGCATAATGGCTCAGCTTATCTTCTGTATAAATTTTAGAATTAGCCCTAGCTGGTTTGGCTCAGTGGATAGTGCCGGCAGGCTGAAAGGCCCCGGGTTTGATTCCAGTCAAGGGCACATACCTTGGTTTCAGGTTCCCTGGGCTTGGTCAGGGTGCATGCGGGAGGCAAACAGTCAATATATCTCTCTCACATCAATGTTTCTCTGTCTCCCTCTCCATTCTTCTCTCTCTCTCAAAAACAAAAACAAAAAACCCTCGGGTGAAGATTAAGAAAAACAAAATTTAGAATCAGTTGGTTAAGGTAATATTAAATATAAAATATAAAGAACTGGGGGTTTTGCTCAGTTATACATTTAATCAATGGGATCCAGCTTGGGAAAGAACTAGCCTCATGATACTGAATCTTCTTATCGATGCATATGTTTATATTTCCCTATTTGTGCAGATTTTTCCTAATGTCTTTTTGATGAAGTATTACAATTTCCAACAGAAGGGTATTATAAATCATAATTAACTTACCCCTAACTTCTATATTTTGTATTGCTGTTTTAAAATACTAGTGTATCTTAAAACTTTTAAAAAAATCTGTTGCTAGTATTGCATGCTTTTTAGACAGTGAAGATACAGTAGTATTATAAAATGTTTTAATTAAAAAAAATAAGAGCATGATTATATTAAACTGTATAATATACAATCTCTGCCAAAGTTTAGCTTAAATAAAACCTCCCCTACTAGGCCTGCTGACTTGATCCCCAGTCGGGGCGTGAAGGAGGCAGCCCATCAATGATTTTCTCTCATCAGTGATGTTTCTATCTCTCCCTCTCCTTTCCTCTCTGAAATCAATAAAAATATATTAAAATAATAATAAAAAACACCTGCTGTGACTTCTGAGTAGCAGATACACTGTAAAGTTCATGAGACACTGTCTGCACAGGGAGCACATTACTCCACCATCGCTAAATCTTTCAGGCTGTGGCTCTTTTGTCTCTTGGCTTTATAGCCAGGACGCAGGAACTCGATCTTTCTTTTCTTTGCTTCGCTTTTACTTTTGTGTTTTTTCAGCTTCTTCTTGGCAGCAATGGCAGGATTAGTGACAAACTTGAAAAAAGAATAGAAATTTTCTATTAATTTTAAAGGAAATGCTAAACTAATAAAAATCAAATGTACATATGGACTATTTCATTCACCTTCAAGCATCAAAAATGTGTATACTCCCACTAAAGAAAATCTGGAGCCCCAGCTAGAACGTCCGCACTTCTCAAACACAGCTAGTTCCTCTTCCTCCCTGGGTCAGTGCGACACACGTGTGCACACACACCCCTGGTTAAAAATAGTCACTAAGCATAACGAACACGCCATGTTGTATTTTCAGATAGCAAACTTACCTCCAAAGCCTTCCTCTTTTT